GGCTATTCAGAGACATGAGAATTATCTTCCTAACCACAAGTGTCATTCTCTGCTCAAAATTACTTCAAGAGCTTCCCTTTCCCCACAGAATCAAGCCCAAAATCCTTAGAATAACATACAAAACTCCAATCCAGCCCAATTTCCATTCTCTTCTCTCTCTTCTACTTAATGCAAAGCTCTAGCCACAGTGGAATACCCGCTCTTTCTGGAACATATCCTACACTCTGTACATTTGCTCACAATGTTCCTTCAGCCTCAAATGCACTTTTTCTTTTCTTTCTTTTTTTTTTTTACTGAGTGTCTACCATATGCTAGGCACTGTTTCAAGTGTTGGGATTAAAACCAAGACAGATAAGGTCTCTGTTCTAATGGAGCCTACATCTCCCATTCATCTCCAAGGTCTGGCTCAAATCTACGTCTTCCTTGAAATTCTCTACAATTCTATACATAAGCATTAACTTCTTCCTCTTACACTTCTCCTAGAGCATTTAGCAGTTTGTCTTATGCAACATCTGTGTATCAGTGTATCTTCTGGCCTGGACTATAAACTACTACTTTTATTTTGGTGACTGGCTGGTATGGGGATCCAAACCCTTGACCTTGGTGTTATAACACTGTGCACTAACCAACTGAGTGACTGGTCAGACCCAGACTATAAAATTCTTGAAGGTGGAAAACAGGTAGTCATTCATCTGAGGGCTTGCACAGTACCTCACACATGGAAGAAACTTAATGTTTCTTTTTTTTTTTTTTTGTCTTTTTTCGGGACTGGCAACGGATCGCAACCCTCAGTGTCACGCCCGTACTGGACCGGGACCGGCAACGGGATCGCAATGTTTCTTTAATTATACCAATCCTATCTCAACCTGCTTCCTTTTATGATCTAAAAACACCCCACACAAACGAATGTGGAGTTGGCCTATTTTAAACAAATATAAGTCTTCTGGGGGGAGTATAAATTGAAAATTGTACTGGAAAGACTTAAAAAATTACCCACATTATTATAACCTGAATCTTAGATTTGCAATCCATTTGTCTATTTTGTATTGATGATTCCATACCATTCCTCAAGTAACTGGATCTAGAGGCTAAAAGTTTTTAGAGAGCAGACTTCTATTTATTTAGTCACCACTCAGCAAATGGCTTCCAGCCTGGGCCAGAGGTCTCATTTCTACAAACATTAGAGAGTTGCCCATTAGTCTCCCTCTAAGGTGGACCATGGAGACCAACAATGAACAGTCAAGCTATTTACCACTGCCAAAGGTTAAGATAGCACCGTTAAAAAATTAATCTGGAAGCAGCCTCTACCCAGCCTTGTTTATTGATAAAGGCTTGATTTAGGAGAGACATCAATACAACTTACCATTTTAAAAATCAGGATTGAAAAATGACAAATTTAAAATTTGACATGCATTAAAAAAAAAGGACTGTCCTTTAGATTAAAGAGAGTTATGCAACCCATTATCTTGAATTGGATCCCGGTTTGGACAAATTAGATGTAAAGAACATATTTGAAACACATTAGGAATTTTGAATATAGATTGGGTATTTTATGATATTTAGGAATTCATTTTTGTTGGGTATAATATGTAGGAGAAATGTTTTATAATTTACCGATATAAACTAAAGTATAAAATGGGTAGAATATTACTTTGTTATTTTTAAAAAAATAGCTTAGTATAAAAGTGAGTTATAAAACAAACCAACCAGTTACACATCAGAGAACAGTTACTTTCTTTTTTTTTTTGGTCGAAGGAATTTTCCTCATATAGAGAATAGTTACTTTCTAGTCCTTAAATAGTTCATGGATACTTTGTCAGTAGACAGTCTTTTTTTTTCTTTTTTTTTATGGCTAGTCAGTGTGGGGATCTGAACCCTTGACTCAGTGGACAGTCTTATGTAGATGGGTCAGGTTCAGGGCCAATCTTCCCTAGCAGAGACTAATAATCCCCACAAGCAGTGAAAAAGCCTTGGGAGCCCCAAATGGGGGTGCCATACATTAGAAGGCACAGGAGAGGGGTCTTTTCTGAAGTGCCTTCTTCCCCCTGTTATATTCTTTTATTATTAAAGCGAAGAGAAAATTATCCGCTTACCGTTCTCTATAACACACCAGATCTCCTGGTGACACAATGAAAATCATCTTGCCTCTGGTTTAAGACAGATTATACATCTTTGACTGGAATCACAAATAAATTTCAGGCTTTGCAGCCAAACTGAAAACCAAACTCTGACCTTGTTGACTGTTCCACTGAAGTTTTCTCTAGCCTGCAGGGCAAGGAAGATAACAGTTTTCCAGCAGTAAGAATCTTAGTAAATATTTTATTAACACATCCTGTCATATTCCTGGGATAGAGGAGTCCTCAGAACACTGCCCCACACTACAGATGCTGAGATGGGTGCTCAAATCCTTGGTCCTTCATCTAGTATCATAGCTCCGTGTTCCTTGAACAGAACTGGACTTGCTGTGCCTTACCCGTCCACATCCCCGCATGGAAAAGGGTCTCCCCTCAGTCAGATGCAGATGGTTGACAATCACTGCCTTTGCAATGGCTCGGGTTCCTTTTGTGAAACCAGAATGGAGAAAAGTTTAACATCAGCTGACCAAAAGGAATTCAGACTTTATTTTCCAAAAAGTCACTCGTGGGCAGACTGGTTAGCTCAGTCGGTTAGAGTGAAGCCTTGTAACAACCAAGGTCAAGGGTCTGGATCCATATATCAGCCAGCCGCCAAAAACAAAAAACCAAAAAACAAAAAGTCACTCATTCCAGTTCTCTCCAGGAAGGGGCTGGAACATCTTCAGGATGAACATGAGGATTCCCACTGCCGGAATATTCGGAATACCTTCCTTGATTTCTCAGAGAGACTCTATAGGTAGAAAAGCTTATTATTAGAGATTGAATTCTCATATAGAGACAAAAGATAGGTAATAGCTTTAGGGCTTGGTCTATAAATTTCTCCTACAATGATCTCGATATGTCTAGAATTGAGTAAAATTCATTTTATATTGTGCTATATATGATGTATAACTAAAGTCAGAACAAAAACCAAGAAGCCAGTGTTCTACTGTCAGACTGCTGCTAACATACTCTGAGCCTTTAAATCACGGCTCATATCCTCCCTCCAAGTATCTGTATCTGTCCTAATCTCTGTATGTGAGTATGACACTCTGACCCTCCATGACTGCAGCACACATTTTGCACTGATTTTCACTCATGATGCTGAATTGGCCCTAGTTCATTATTTCTTGTAAATAAGAGCTCCCATTTACGTGATACCCAGCTGAGGTTAAGGTTAATAGTATGATCCAAGGCCAAGGAATAAAACAAAGTTGATGACCCCTAAGAGTTTAAACTATGACCTTGGCCTTCTCAGCTTTATGTTCCCAGCAGAGCTAATAATAGGAAGAATCTCATTGCCACTTGATCATGCCTATTAAGTGCTGAGATTCTGAGAAACAGTGTTACAGGGAGACAAAGCAATTCATTAGAAGATAAAGGTTCTCAGTGAATCAGAACACTTGGTTCTCTTTGTCCTTGAGAGTCACAATAAAGAGCAAATATTACGTGCAGACAGGGTCTCAGTGAGAGTACAAAAAATATCTAGCAAGATGACCCATAAAGTTACTTCTAGTTTCTGATATAAGATGACATTTTCACTGTTTTCCTATCCACTCTGTGGATGCGTGTTTCAATAAACAAAAAGTCCCAGGAGGGAAAAGCTGAAAAGTTTCAACTCTTACTGAGGAGAATTTAGTTAATAATATAGTGTGACAAACCAAGTTGAAAGAAACATAAGTGAAAAAATAGCATAAACTTTTTTCTAACATCAAAATCCTTTACCATTGGGCCGGCCTGTGGCTCACTTGGGAGAGTGCGGTGCTGATAGCACCAGGGCCATGGGTTCGGATCCCATATAGGGATGGCCGGTTCACTCACTGGGTGAGCATGGTGCTGACAACACCAAGTCAAGGGTTAAGATCCCCTTACCGGTCATCTTTTTAAAAAAAAAAAAAAAAAAATCCTTTACCACAACCTTATTCAGCTTTGTATCTTCTAGTCATAGCAGCTGTGAGAGGTTAAAAGACAAACTACCCAAAAAGATCTTAAAAGTCCTGGAACTCAGGGCCAATTAGGAGGCCTATTTTTTGCACTAAAAAACAAAACAAGGGCCAAGCCCGTGGCGCACTCGGGAGAGTGCGGTGCTGGGAGCGCAGCAGTGCTCCCGCTGCAGGTTCGGATCCTATATAGGGATGGCCAGTAAACTCACTGGCTGAGCGCGGTGCAGCCAGTCTCAAAAAGGGCAAAATAAAATAAAATAAAATTAAAAACAAAAAAACCCCTGAGGGGTTTCTTTTTAGTATGACAGTAATAGAAGGGAGTCTTAATAAAAACTGCTAAGGGGCTGGCCTGTTAGCTCAGTTTTAGTTAGAGGGCAGCCTTGTAATACCAAGGTCAAGGGTTCAGTCCCCCAGACCAGCCAGCCACCAACCAGGAAAAAAATAAAAACCTATCACCAAAAAAATCTGCCAATATGATATTTCCTGAAGATCCAAGCAGAGAGAATTTATGTGCAAAGATAGATTTTATCTCTCCAATTTGAGAGGGGAGTCAAACATTTGTCTTCAAATAGCTTTATATGTTTCTTAAATTGGAAAAATGCAGACTTTTTTTCCCACAAAAACTTGGAAAACAATCTGCATATTTACTAAGGGCACTAGTGGACATTATCAGACTTTTAGCATCTCTACAGTTTCCTCCAGTGGAATCCTGCGACCCTACAGAAACATGCATCTGGGAATGTTGGTTGTAAATTATCTGCTGGAAGTATTACTTTACTTTGTCCTTGGAGGGTATAGAGGTCAGAAGTTGTTATATTTATATCAGGCTACAAGGCAACTCTGGGAGTGAGCCAGCAAAGAAAAGAGAACAGTTTTCATGACTCCTTAACGTCCACCCTCCCACATTCATCCTTTACATAGAGCAGCCACTTGACTTGTTTCTCAGTTGTCACAAAGGCTTTGCATTTACCCACATTTGTAACCCACAGCAGTCATAACTATGATGACAAGTGGAGGTCCAGTGCACAAGTCTGGGCTGTGGAACAGAGTAAAGTAACTTGCCCAACATGAGGAATGAAATCATCATCTTGGTGTCAGAGCACAGTGTTCCAAACAGCTAAGTTAGCTGGCCAGGCTCCAAATACAAGTGTCAGCAACTGATGGAAAAAACAGCTGTTCTGCAACGTGAGGCTGAAGCAGCTGCCTATTTATCTATTTCTGTTTCTGTACTTCTTTCCTACACTGATCATTTTTGTTGGAAGAACAAAGAATTAATCAGAATTTGATGGAATACCATGTGCTAAACTGCAGAAAGATTGAACCAGTTCCATGCCTTTTCTCTAGGATGAAACCAGAATGAGTCTAACGACTTATGAAAGCTGAGGGCAGGCAAGGTACTAATCATAGGGCCAGCCTCTGCTCCTCACTCCATAAACAGCAAGTGCTGCACACACACAGGCAATGGCTTATCTCACCATGGAGTCTGTTTCAGCCGGCTGGCTAGACTGTTTGTGGGCCAAAAGGAGAGTTAGCACTGCCTTCCAGCCTGGCTGTGTGGGGGTGCTGGCATCTGGCTCAGTTTCACCGTTCTCCCTGGATTCTTTGCCAAGTGTGATATTCACCCAGGGGCACCAGTCTCTATGCTGAGAGGTGGGATCTAAGAAGCTTCGGGAAGATGTGTCCTGAGGAAAGAGGAAGAGAAATAGCATTACTGAAGGGCAGATGCTATATAGATTCAGCGAGGCATTGCTATTAGTTGTCAAATCCAGAAACTTACAATTGCCAAATTTTTATACTCTCATTTAAACTCTGATTATCTTCCTCTCATTTTTATTCTTTCACTCCTTTTGTGTTAAAAAAAAATGGCAGCTTACCAGGTTTGTCCCCCTATCTCACTACCGCCTCATTTGCCTGAAACATTTATTACCTCTCCAGAATACACCCCAAAGAAACAAATGACGAAACCCTTCATTTTTTCCCTTTGGTCAGCCACTGTCTCATCTTTCAACTTATTCAAATGGTCTACTTTTAGTCATGGGACCGGGGAAGGGCTCTCGCCTGCTTCTCCATGCTGCACAGCGAGGGCACAGCATGCTGTTTGTGCTCATCGATGTCTACACGTGGAGATGACTCACCGAGCTGCTGGAAGAGCAGAGGCGAGCTCGCTTGGCTCTCCGCAGAGGGCTAGATGGTACCTCCAGGCCAGTGGGGTCTCCTGTTCCCATGCTTCGGGTCACTGGGCGGGTTCTGGTGGTGGGGCTAACAGCCTCTGGCTCAGGACGGTCAACAGGACTGGAAGAGTCCCAGCTCCGAGTTCGGGAGACAATAGGACCTGGAATCTTCTCAGTCTGAAGGAAAGGGGAGATAATGGAAGTACACCAATGATATTAACAATTATGGTTGAGTACTTCTTTCTAGAAGAATGTGAAAGCTAGTATTTTATAGTTTAAACTACAGGAATTTAGTTTCTGAACTGTCTACATAATTGAACTCTTCAAAGAATATTAGGTTTCTATACAATATTTCTACAAATTTAGCTTCTCTGTTGGTGAACAGAAACACTACATGGTATTCTGATCAATGTGATTTTAGACATAAAGCCTACCCACCTAAGGTAATTTCCAACTCTCCGCCAACAACACTTTTGTCAAGAATGCTATTTAAAAGTCCACCCCCTCTCACTTGGTTAGAGCATGGTGCTGATAATACCAAGGTCAGGGGTTCAGGAAAAAGTCCACCCCAAACAAGCTAAGTCCATACCTGCTCTGAGCCTGGGGAAAAAGTGGCATCCTGGCTTCGGGTCATCATCCTCCGAGGGGATTCAGGCACCAGTGGGAAGCGCTCTGACCGCCCCTCAGGGCCTAGGATGGGGGAGCTGGTTAGGCCAAATGACGCATCCAGGTCAGTCATGGATGTCTCAATCTGCTGGAAGCCCCAGAGTCCCACCTTCCTCATACACTGGGAACATGTTATCAGGGAGAGCTGCATGGGCTCCAGAGAAGAACTAGGTAGGAATGAAAGAGAAAGTGAGTTTTCTCAAAGGGTAACATTTCCTAGTGACTTAGTGTAATTATTTGTGAGTATGTTTTATCTCATCAAACAAATCTCTGAAGTAGTCCAGTGGACTGGGAACCATGTCCTCTCAGGGTCTCTTCCTCTGGTCTCAGGACCCCAGCTTCATCATCTTTCACAAATTTCCTGTAGAAAGATCTAAGGGGTCTCTTGATGTGTTCTCTATGGCAAGACTACTTTGAAGGTATGTTTTATAAATTTCTCCTGTCCCTCTTAAAACTTTTTCCTTTTAAATGGAAAACATTCTTTAATCTACCAAAGAAAAGATATTCAAAATAAATCAAGACTGTTTCTGACATTCTTCTATCTCACAGGGAGTCTATACCAAATTGAGCAGCTGGAACAGGAACGCCAACGTGGGGTCTAGGGGAATCCAGCTGGTGTTTCCTTTGGTAGTTTTTACCAATTAAACTCATTTTTGTTGTGCTTTATTGTCTTTCTATTTTTAGAAAGGAGCCTCACTGTTTACAGTAACGCAAATTCCTCACTAGGAAGTGACAGTACAAGTAAAAAGTTTAGGTGTGAACACCAAGAATTCCTGTGTTATAATTCTGGTTTTGTTACTAATTGTTATTATTCCCCTCCCCCTCTATGGCCCCCCAAGTTTCTGTCTCTGTTCTTCTCACAGGAAATACCATGGGATTTCCAAATACTATTAGCAACTGAGATATACGGGTGTATACTATTGTCACCGTTCATGTGCCTAGGCAAAATCCACTTACTAACCTACATGCCCAGCCACACAAAGAGAGAATACAGGCAGTGACATGGACTTGGATATCTGAGCCTAATTTGATTGTAGTTTTTCTCTCATCAGTTCGCTGATCAAGTTCATCTTCGAGCAGGTGCAGGAGAAGACTGATCTTGTCTTCTGTCAAGCACTACAAAGAAGCCAAGTAAAAATCTTCAAGTTTCAACCACCATAAAAGAAACATTATAAATAATGATGTACCTAGATGGTACAAGGCAAAAATGAGAAAAGAAATGACAAACATGAAGACAGTCCTCTGCATAGAGAAGACTTACTTCTAGGACAGGGCTAAGGTATCACATGGAAGCTTTCTGAATTGTCCTGGATCTGCTACTTAAGAAAGATAGCAGTTTTCCTGGAACTACCAGATCTTTTTTTAGTACTAAACTGTTTTCAATTTACCAGTTGCAGATTTTCTCGAAATCTATAAACTTCAAACCCAAATAATGAAAACAGGTTACTGTTTATATCTTGGCCTGACAATGAATTTACTTTTTGACAGAACAACAGAGCTTGCCAGTATTTATTTTTGTTTTAAGAATAAAGGACTACGATAGGGTGAACAAAAAAAATCTTTGGCTAGGGACAGGGTAACATTTATAATAGGTATCAGAGGTTACTAGTTTGGTACTAAAACCCAAGCTATTTTCTCAACTTGAAGAAGCAAAATAATCAGCTGCCATTTCCTACAGTAAGAAATATCTTCATAAAGTACCTACAGGGTGATGAAATGGGACAGTACACATTCAGTTCCAAAGTACAGATGGGCCAGAGCATTTCAACATTTCTATTCACAAGGAGAAGGGAGTTTGTAACTTGTCCTCTAGGACTTTCTTTGGAAAATCGTATGCAATCAACCATACACAGTCTTATTTCAGTATCTTCTGTTCAATAGTTTAAACAATAAATCAAGATAAAATTGAATTTATGCCATTTAAAGAATGATTCCTAAAAGTTTAAATGAAACCCTCAACAGTTGCCTTTCTGGTAGAGACTGAAAACGGTCATTTGAGACTACAAGTGCTGTGGTTCTCTTCACAACAATCTGCATACTCTTGTCATTAAAAGAAATGCTTCATGTACAAATGTTGGTGACAACTGGAGGCCACTGTAGCCTAGCCAAGAAAAACTCACCATAGATTTCAAGTCCTCCGGCCTCAGGGAAGGAAGTTGGAGGTCCAAGTGACAAAGGCTTTGGAAACGATCTAGGAATTCACTAACAAGAATAGCAGGCTCATCCAATGGCAACATCCCAAATCGATCTGGGGAAAAAGTAAACTGAAAGATTATATTGGTGCAAACTGTAAAAAATAAAAACACGTACAGAATAACTGGAGATGTAAAATTGATGACATATTTGATGATACTAAGATTTTATTGATTTTTCTTTTGATGGATACTACTGATTTTGTTTAAGAAGTAGATTCTGTATCTTTTATATTTTGAAAATATTTACTGATGAAATGGTATGATGTGTGGGATTGACTTTTGAAACAATGCAGAGGAGCGGAGAGGTGTTAAGAATATAGAAGAAACAAGATTAGCTACAAACTGAAAATTGTTGAAGTCAGGTGATGGGTAGAGATGAGGTTTCATTATTCTATTTTATCCAAGTACTACATTATTCAAGTACTATTCTCTATACTTTTGTGTATGCCTGAAATTGTTACCTTACGTAAAAGTAAGGAAAACAAACAAAAAAAGCCCCCAAACAGTTAGTGGAGGTAGAGGCTTGCATAGGTGACAGGGCTTAAAGAACCAACATTTTATAACTACCAAGTATGGATAACCTATTGTGAGCTAAGAACGAAAAAATTTCCATGTTCCTAAAATTTATACATGAGATAAAAAAAGGCTTACAGTATAAGGTGAAGCAAAAGTGGATATTAGGACATACAAAGTACAAAATTAGGAAGCTCACTGGTTATACCTAAGGTGGAAAAGAAAGAATGTGTTTGAAAATCAGTTAGTTTGGAAATTAATTGGTTATACACTACAATTATCTTTGGTGTCACCCAATTCATGTATTCAATATTTGGTACACTGGCTGCAAATGCAAGTGGTGAGGGCAGAAACGCCTTGCTGAATTACTTCCTAAGGAGGTTGATCTATTAGGCCTAGAATGATCAGTAGAAACACATAGAATCAGCCTCAAGAAAGAATGAAAATACTTTTTGTAGGTGAGAGATTTTACAGAAAAAATGAAGAGAGAACACATCATCCTAACCTGATCAGCTAAACAGTAGGAAGCCACTGGACTCAGTGGTCTTTTTCTCAGCCTCAAATTAACACTCAGTTGCTTGACAGCCACTATAAGGCAGCCCCTTAGGCTACAAAGATGAAAGACACATTCAACACCCCTAAGTTACTCACAATCTAATATGGGAGGCAGTTAAGCAATGACATTTCAGTGTGATAAGTATTATCACAAGAGTAAATAGAAACTCTTATGAAAGGTCACAAGAGAGATGTAGCAGATCCTACTGGCTGTCAACCCAACAGCTATCCCCTGCTCTTGCCTTGTTGGTAGAAGCAAGATTTTGTTTGGTATCTGTCATTATCCCTAATGACCTGGAGTAATTCCTGATTTGTTTCTAACAATCACAACAGAAGCATTCCTCTTGGCAGTGGCCCATTTAGGAAGGGACATTTGACCCTATTGTGACCAATGAGTTAGGAGAGGAAGTGTGCTGGATAGTGTCTGCATGTGACTCTTTAAACTGCTGCCACTGTGCAACCTTGACAGAAACTACTTTCACAACAATGCTTCTTGGAAGAACTGGGTCCTGAGCCAATAAGTTAGCCAATCCTGGAGAGATCCTACCTTGGGGTTTATTACGAGATATAATATATATTTTTTTTCTTTTTGTCTTTTTTCGTGACCGGCAACGGATCGCAACCCTCAGTGTCGCGCCCGTACCAGACCAGGACCGGCAACGGGATCGCAACCCTCGGTGCTGCTCCCGCACCTCGCTCAACCAGTGAGCGGCCGGTCTGTATGTGGGATCCGAACCCTCGGCGGGAGCGCCACCGCGCTTCCCAAGCGGCGCACTGTAGCAGTGCGCCACCAGGCCGGCCCCATATAATACATTTTTTTATTAAGCCATTTTATTACTTATTTTTCCTGCCTTCCTTCTCCTTCTCCTTTCTTTTTTTTCTTTTTTTCTTTTTTGGCTAAAAGCTTCCTGACACTAGAGTTGATTAGGGTAGGTGCGTTTTCAGGAAAGGTTTCTTAGAGGCAGTCAAGTCTAAGCTGAATGTGAAAGCCAAACAACAGTGTATAAAAGCAAACAGCCAAAGGATGGCACATTTGGGGAATCCTAAATGGTTTCATGGTGCTGGAACACAGTGTGTGTGTGAGGAGATAAGTAGGAGACGAGGCTAAAGTGTAGACAGATTTTTTTAAGGAGGAAGTGATATTATAGATAAACATGCACTAGTTTAGAGACTGTAAAAGGTAAGTGTGGAGGCAAAGAAATAAGCTTAGAAGACATTAAAATGACTTAAAACAATAATCCTTGTAGGATAATGTTAGCCTAAAGATGGAGAGAAGGAATACCAATGTTGCAAAACTGCTTTTTTTTTTTTTGGTGGCTGGCCAGTACAGGTATCAAATCCTGGACCTTGGTCTTATCAGCACCATGCTCTAACCAACTGAGCCAACTGGCCAGCCCAATATTGTAAACTCCTAATGATCTACGAAACCTCATCTTACAAGAAAAATAGGGTACTATAATATGCAGCATTAAATTGAGAAAACGAATATAAACTCAAGATGTTAAAACAGAAATCTAGTAGTGATGGTTTCATGGTTGTGCAAACCTTATCAAATTGACACCTAAATATGTGTAGTATATTTTATGTCAATTATACCTCAATAAAGCTATTTTTTAAAAGAGAAATCTCTTTTCCCATTCTGTTGTTAGATGGGGCCCAAAAGCATTAATAGTAGCACCTCTGTTCACCACTTACTTGAATCTTTAACAACTAGTTTTTTGATCTCTAATATTATTAAAAGATCAAGGTTCTGGGCCGGCCCGGTGGCGCACTTGAAAGTGCGCCGCTTGGGAGTGCGGTGGTGCTCCCGCCGAGGGTTCGGATCCCATGTGGAGACCGGTTCTCGCTCAGTGGCTGAGCGCAGTGCGGGCGCAACACCGAGGGTTGCAATCCCGTTACCGGTCAGTAAAAAAGACAAAAAGGAAAAAAAAAAAGATTAAGGTTCTTTGAAGAGTTGCTGATTCCATGTCTTAGGGCAGAAAAAAATAAATCAAGTTAGAATATTCTGTTGTTGCTAGAAAGCAAGAATGCTTTCAAGAATGCTAGAGATAATGCTGAAAGTATAGAATAGTCAGCTTAAGGGCTGGCCAGATAGCTCAGATGGTTAGAGCAAGGGGCTGACAACACCAATATCCAGGGTTTGATCCCTATGTCAGCCAGCCACCAAAAAAAAAAAAAAAAAAAAAAAAAAACCGAGAGAGACAGAATAATCATTATAACTAAGATAAAATGCTTCTGAAATTCCATGAGTTCTTAATGATATGCAAAAGAAAAAGTACAGAAGAGTAATAATTTTTAAAATTAATCTTAGTATCTTATATCTGACAAAGTAGACTTTAAAACCATAAAAAGAGACAATGAGGGACACTACATAATGATAAAAGGACTGATCCATCAAGAAGGCATAACAATCATAAATATGTACGCACCCAATTTTGGAGCAGTCAGTTTTATAAAACAAACTCTATTAGACCTAAAGAAGGTAATAGACACTAATACCATAATAGCAG